GCTAGTGGTGCTGGACATCCACGGCGTGCTCGTGGAGCGCCGTGCGGCGGAGCGAGCCGGCTCGCATCCGCGCGGCGCGGGCGTTTTCGCCGCCGTGGCGCACGGACTATCGGAACGAGCACTGGCTGCGGCCGCACGTGGCGCGCTTCCTGCGGCTGCTGCTCGCGCGGCACGACGTGGGCGTGTGGAGCTCCGCGCAGGCGCACACGGTCGACTCGTTCCTGCGCGCGGCGCGCGACGCCACGGGCGTCGCCGTGCGCGAGCAGAGCCGCTTCGTGTGGGACCGCAGCCGGTGCCGGGCAGACCGCGAGCGCGGCGGATGGGCGACTACGAAGCCGCTCGCAGACCTCTGGGGTAGTGCGGAGGCGAGGGGGTTCGGGGAGAAGAATACGCTCATGCTGGACGATTCTAGAGACAAGTTTAGGGCGACGCCGAGGAATGGGCTCTGCGTGCCCGGAATGAGGGCCGAGGACGGGGAGGGCGATGAGACGCTGCTTTGGGTCCTGCTTTATGTCGAGTATCGCAGGGAGGTCGGGCTGCTTCGCGAGGACGTGATGCCGTTTGAGGCGTTTTTAGAAGAGGGTATGTTGGAGGCGGCGCGCAAAGGGGTCGGGGGCGACGCGCTGGCGACGGTGTTTCTGGACGAGAGGGCGGAGGAGGGGCCGGAGAAGGGGTTGGAGAAGGGGTTGGAGAAGGGGCTGGAGAAGGGGCTGGTGAAGGGGCTGGAAGAGAAGATGCGGCTCGAGGAGGAGGACAAGGACGTGGATGCCGTGGTGGAGAGGTTGGAGCGCATGTTTCAGACGGGCGGCAAGCGGGAAGAGGCGGCGGAGCTAGAGGCAGTGGCGGGTGAGACCGGCGTTGACGAGTTGACATGATGCTCCCAGTGGCGCGCACTATTATACTCTAGTTCCTGCTCCCAAGAGCTGGGTGTCGAGACGGCACGTTATGACAGCAACTTGCGACCACAAAGACGAGTGGACATGATGCCGCATGATGCTATAAACTTTATAAACTTTACTCTAGTTACTGCTCTCAAGAGCTGGGTGTGGTCGCAAGTTGGTGTCATGACGTAGAGTCTCGGGCCGCACACTGTGATATGTATGATACCGTACTGTAGCAAGTCGTGCATGGCTATTTTTTGAATTTTTTGAATTTTTTGTATTTTGGGGATGGCAGTAAAGAGAGAATTTGCGGTTTTGGGAGAAACAGGCTGCAAGTCAGCGTCATGCAAGTGTGCAAGTTGTAGAAACTCCTACTGCTCCCTCCCCCTTTGTAGTACAAATAGGATAGATCACTGATCAGCCCCATGATTACAGTATGTGCTCCTTGCTCTTGATTGCTTCTCTTGATTGCTTCTCTTGATTGCTTCTCTAGCTACCCTTCGAAGGGTACCTCCTGCACTTGCCACCGTGATAGATTGAACAATTGCGTCCAGAACTTGCCTCCAGAAATTGCCTCCAGAAATTCTAGTCGAAACCGTCGCAATACTGTACCTGTAACGGTACTGTACAAACAAAAAGAATGTTTTGGCCCATCATACTGTCGGAAAACAACTACTGTAACGGTACTGTATCTGGCCGTTGCGCCTACCTGACACTTGTTCCGACGGTTTGTGAAATTGCTGTATTCAACATTTGGGCCTTGCACACCTGCGAAAAGCTGCATCAACCGTTATGTTCGGGAGAACCCGTGTTCTATCATAGATACGTAGCCGCAAAGTCGCTACCAGCGACTCGTGTCATGCCTAAGCTAAAGAGAAATGCAATTTATACGATATTGTTACACGTTTGGTGCTCGCCGATCCTATCTTACTTTCACACACTCAACTGTATTCTTTCGCCCTGCTTATCTCTCGCTCTCCCACTAGTAGAAAGAATGTTTCTGTGTGAAGCGACTATTTCCTCTCAAAGAAACTCCCATCTCCCCACGCTGCACGGAATGGCAATCCACAGCATGTGCAGTAATTGCGAATTCTACGGGCAGCGGGTAAAGCACAACGCATTTCGCCCAATTCATTTGGTAATTCTATGAAGAAGCAAAGCACACCTGTCCTCGCCTCCAATTCTAGACTTTCTGCAGTTGTATCATACAACATACAACTTGTATGTTAACATGTGTAACATTACACACATAGTATATGTGGATTGTACTCCATGAGGAGTACTCCATGAGGAGTACAAGATGTGTCTGTTAAAGTATTCTTGAATAAATGGAATTAATTAATTAGTCTCGTGAATGGCGCATGTCGATCTTTGGTAACCGCGCACATCTACAGTATACGTACAGCACTTGTTTACAAGATTACATAATCTATAAAATCTACAACTGTAAGACAGCGTCGGGCGCAACCATTGCTCTAGAGTTTATTACACCATGAGCCTCATGATGTAATAGAGCAATGGTTGGGCCTACTCATGGCATGAGCACCCCTTTTGCAGTGCACCAGCTGGCCCCGTGTGATTGGCCGTATGCGTCATTGCTGGCGATCACCACCCACTCCTGTTGGACCGCTCATTAGGAAGTTGATTGCCAGTGCAAAGCCTCCCCGTCCTCCAAAATTCCCCGTCCCGCCTGTCTACCGAACTTTCGACTCCCCTTCCCGCACCCCTCCCGGACCTTGCCCATCCCACCCCACCCCCCGCCATCCCCACCGCACCCCACACCAACACCTCACTCCCATCATGACCGTTGAGACTGCCACCGCGCCCAAGCCGCGCATGCGTCAAGAGTTGCAGCTTCTCATCTGCGCCGCCGGCATCTACCTCTGCTACCTGCGCTACGGCCTCCTCCAGGAGCGCATCTACTCGCACCAGCACGGCCCCGCCAACGAGCACTTCCACTTCACCTCCTTCCTCCTCCTCATCCAAACCTTCGTCAACGCGCTCGCCGCCGCTCTGGTCATCCAGCTTGGCTTTTTCCAACCGCCCGCCGCCTCCGCGACCGCCACCAAGCACAGTTTTCGCCGCGCGCTCCCCGAGTATGCCATAGTCTCGCTCACATACCTCTGCGCGATGCTCTTCTCCTTCACGGCGCTCAAGTACATGTCGTATCCGATGCAGGCCCTGGGCAAGTCGTGCAAGATGATACCCGTCATGCTGATGGGCGTGCTGATCCGGAAGCGGCGCTACCAGCTGCGCGAGTATCTCTGCGTGGCCCTGGTCACGCTCGGCGTCGCCCTGTTTTCGTGGAAGTCCAACAAGACTACCGTCCCCAACTCCCCCATCGGCTTCGCGCTCCTCTTCGCCTCGCTCTTCATGGACGGCGTCACGGGCCCGCTGCAAGAGCGCCTCGTCGCGCGCCACGCTCCGTCCACGCACCAGCTCATGTTCTGGCAGAACATGTGCTCCGCCGCATGGCTGGCCGCCGGCTCGTTTGCCAGCGGCGAGGCTCAGGCGGCAATCGACTTTGTCGTCAGGCATCCCACCGTTGTGCCAGACCTCGTGCTGTTCGCCCTCGTGTCCGCCGTGGGACAGAACTTCATTTTTTATACCGTGCGCAACTTCAACGCGTTGGTCGTCACTACCATCACCACTACGAGGAAGATGTTTACGGTGCTGCTGTCCATTTTTGTGTATCAGCATGCGATGGTCGCGAGGCAGTGGCTGGGATTGGCGCTCGTTTTTGTGGCCATTGCTTGGGAGGCCACCGCCAAGCAAAAGGCGAAGAGCGCTGTTAAGGCGGCGAGTGTGGAGGCGAAAAAGGCCCAATAAATGTGAGACTCTGTATTTCTATTGTACATACGATATGTCCGTGCTGTCCCATACGTTGTCTGCTCGAAGGAAGGAATGCTGATGCCTGGTTTACGTTTTTGCCTGTGAGAATGCCTATTGTTGTCGTTCACTTGTGCATTTTTGCCGACATCGGAATATGACCTTTGTAACAAATTACGCATCTGTCATGTCCTCCGGAACGCTCCCTTACTGTACACGTAGACAAAACTGGAAGCCGTGCGGCGGCGTGACGGGCCTGTCTTTATTTGCATTCTGGGAAATTGCAGATGTACAAGCATTGTGATCTAGTATCGAAACAGCGGATGTCGTCTCCACTTCAAAATGAAGGATCTCAAAGGTATAAAGCAAAAACAAGACAAAGGCGCAGCTCGCGGCCACTATGCAACGCCTGGCGTCCCTCGCGCGGCCACTATGCTTTTCGCTCCTCAATCCTCCTGAGGCTGTCGAGGTAGAGCGAGACAAGGAGGTAGTAGGCGGCGTACACGAACGAGGCGTACAGGGCCGGGCGGGCGTACTGGGACTTTGGGAAGAAGGTGGGAAATAGCATGAGCGTGGCCCAGATGACGGCGCCGATGATGTTGAGGTTGAAGAAGGCGATAGTGCGCGTGGGATAGATAAAGTGGATGGGGATAAAGGAGAGCACGGCGCACGCGGTGAAAACTGCGACGGCTACTGGCATGGAGCACTCGAGGTAGTAGATGTAGAAGACGACGATGTTCCAGTAGCTCGGGAAGCCGACGAAGGCCTCGGTGGTCTTCGCGGTGGTCTGGCAGAACTGGTATGCGGCGGAGAGCAGGACCATGGCAGCGACGATAAACTGGAGGGCGGAGCCCGGGACGATCTCGAAAACAATGACGGCGAGCGCGGGGAGGACGGCGAAGGTCTGGTAGTCGATGATGTTGTCCAGCAAGGCGCCGTCGTACGTGGGGACGACCTTCTTGATGTCGACGGCGCGGGCCAGGGTGCCGTCCGTGGCGTCGATGAGGATGGCGAGCCAGTTGAGCTTGGCGAAGAGCGCAAAGTCCTGGCGCTTGAACAGCGCGTACAGAAGCGCGTACATGTTGACGAGCAGCCCCGTGGCGGTGTAGAGGTGGACCAGCCAGGCGAGCGCGACGCGCCAGAGCGGGTAGACGGCGGCGGCGCTGCCCGCGGCGGACGGGGCGGAGCGCGGCGTGGACACGGACCGCGCGCGCTGCGGGGTGGCGGGCGGGGTGGC